TACGCACGCACACACACACACACACATAAATATATAATATATATATATATATGGTTAGGTTACCAGTGCAAATTAAAAAATTGGAATAATCATTCACCACAAATGTAATGCGGTGGTCGAAACTTTTACTAAAATGTGACTTAAACAATCTAAATCATAGTTAAATGATTAAAGTTTAACACAATTGATAGTAACAAAAGGTAGCAACATACTGTATGCAATATATAGTACAAATAACTTTACATGTACCTTGTCTGTGTTGCTGTCCACAGGATATTGTGGAACCTTGTCCCACGTTACAACAAGCATCCAATTAGCAACAAAATCTGATATAATTTGATCACTAGGAAGAGTTTTGTTTTGAAACGTTCTTACACGATCTGTTCCATTAGATAACATTTCTCTGTCACGATCAGACACAGTTTCAATGTTGCTACTGTATATCTGTTAAAATAACATTGGACATTTTTCATCATGAGTATACATGTATACGTGTCTACATATGCCTACAATCAAATTAACATAAGATTTAAAAATAACTTACACTATAGTATACTTCACCAATATCGCTGTTAGATAAGTCTGAATCGGCCCAATAAGGGGCGATAACTTTTCGTGGATAATTAATGGTAATTCCACCAATAGGGGGATATGCAAGTCCAACCTTCCGTTCGTTTTCTCTTGACAAAACAATTACACCATTTTCAGTAAACTAAAAAAAAAATACAAAAAAAAAAATCAATTTCAACTGTATATGTAAACAAAATCTGTTCATTGTTAACATGTATTTAGAATTAGAAATTCCATATTTTAACAACTATTAGTATTGGAAATATTGATGGAAATGCTTACGTATATACTGTAGATGAAATCTCCAAAAAAAGGAAATCCATTCGTTGGTCTAAATGTTGGTGATACCTTCTCTGGGATTTGATCCATTGACATTTCAAAACTGTCACTGAGACTATTATCACCTTGCTCAAGTCCCCAAGCAAAAAAGAAATCAGCTAAAAGAAAAAAACGAAAAAGTAAAAGTTTTCAAACTAGCATCATGTACATTACCAAACGAAACAATTTCACGACTGAATTGAAAAAGACACATATCAATAGTAGCTTAAAGCAAAAAAATTCAAGCATAAAAATATTTTGTATTTTCATTGTAACAAATAAAACGTAGGCTCAGTGGTGGTGTCAGGATTTGTTTTGATGTCCCCGATGGGGGATGTCCCAGACAGAAAGGTGATTTTCCCAAGATATTATAATTAAGCGAGACAAGGGCACCTCAAAGGAGGTCCAGGAAAAAACTGACAATTTAGAGATTTGAAAGACTAATTTGATTGATTTTAGTCTCCCATTCTGTAAATATTACATAAAAGAAGAATTGCATTTTTTTCCTCTTCGACCAAGAGTCAGCTCTTCCCGCCTCCACTGTGTACACCTAATTGGAATAATGCAAACTGCATCATTTAATTGGATGATTTGTTTACAAGGCCTATGTTTATGCACGATACGATATTGCCCTAGAATTGCTCATTTTATTTATTATTATTATTATTATTTTTATGGAAAGCGTTTCATAAAAAGTGGTTACGATGATTTGTACTGTAATT